CATATATTCTAATGAGACAAGTTTGTATATAACTTTTAGCAGCTATTTTTTAAGTTCAGTTTTTTAATTGATAATTTTTAAAGATACAAAATGTATGAGCTTTAAACTAGTACTATATTAAACTTAAAAAAGAAGAGATAAATTTGAAAATTTTTTATTTCTGAACTGGGAAATGCTTTAAGGAAAAAAGGAAAATTCTTAAACTTTTTTAGTAAAAGAAAGAGAAAGAAGGGTGTTGTTGAATAGAATTTATACTTTATAGGGATTGGAGTTTTGATAGAGGGTAATGTGCTGGAATGGGGTAGGGGCCAGTTGGGAGGAGGGAAGGGAGGGGCGGAGGAGTTTGATTCCTTTATCTGTGGTATTTGGTATGGGAACTGGGGGAGGATGGTATGTGGGGTTATTTACTGGGTGGGGTCAGAAAAAGGAGACGATGTTTTATCTGAGGATTAGGGTTGAAAAAGGAAGGTGATGTTTTAGTTTCAGAAGATTCTTTTTTAACTGGAAGGTTAGTTAAAAATTTAGGCCGCAGTTTTAGGCTGTGTCTGGAAGAGGCCAGCATATCGCTCATGTAACATTTTGCAGTTGTAAAATCAGTCTTTTTCCCATCTTAATAAATCTACAATTGATGTAGTATAAAAAAATTTAAAACATTTCATTGTTTCTTTTCAAACACATTATTGGCAGGTATTATAAACTAAAGCAAATAAAATTCACTTCTCCTCAATCCTACAACTTACTACACACTTTCAAATTTAGCTCTTAATATCTTTTCTATTCTGACAGAAGCAGACGTTTTACTTTAAAACAAAACTACTTTCATTTTCCCTCTTAAACAAAAACACACATACTTATTAGCAGTTATTTTGTTTTCCCTCTTGAATCTCATACTATGTAAAACTTCCAACGTTTATTCTCAAAGTGGTTTTTGTTCAGTAGTCTAGATACACCAAGTTATTCCAAGTGTGTTCACTACCCCAAAATGCTACATTTTTTAATAACTACAATATTCTTAATTGGCTCAGAAAACAGTATGGCTTGGTTTCACTTGGTAAAGTTAATATGATTTAAACATATAAATACACATGTTCTTACAATTTTAAATCATGGAAGAACAGTACTTTTTAAAGATAGGCTAATTGGAAAAGGTATCAAAATAAGGAAATAAAAGCAAATACTAAAAGCTACAGGGAGTAAGAGAACTTGTACAGGTTGGCAGGCTTTACAGAGAGATGGGAGTGAAAATAGCTTAGATAGGGTTTCTGACCATCTTTGAGTCTATTGGCAGAAATTGTCAAGATCTCGAAGGGTATTAAATGAAAAGTCCCATTTTTAGGCCATCGAGAGTTACTATCTATCTGGTATTGTGACCATGCCTGATTACAGTACAAGATTAGTCTCTTGGGACAGAGGTCCTCAGCCAGGCCCAAGTTTAAAAGATTTGAAAGGAGGTACCCCAAGGGGCTGTCTCTTGGGGTTTATACGTTTGGCTACCCATGGTGTTCAGATCTGTGGGTGAGGGCAGCTGAGATTTCAGAGCATCCTCTGAAAGCCGAAAGCCCTCAGATTCTGAGAAAGGCTAAGAGATGGCGTGGGTGTCCCCTGTTGCAGTCAGTAGCCTGGAAGCGCCTGGCGCTTGGGTGGATTTTCGACGCAGGAATGTTTAAAATATTGGATATATGTGCAGACGGGAGTCCAGTGTGGCCAGACCTGAGTCCCAAGGGATTTAAAATTGCATGGAGACAAAATGCCTGGGGATTGTTCCAAACAGTGCTTAGGAAATTTTATGAGCAAATGGGCCTTTCTGAGGGAGAGAGAAGTCAGGAAAGAAGTCTGAGAAAATGCCTGGCGACTGTTCTGAACAGTGCCTGGGAAATTTTATGGCCAAATGGGCCTTGTTAAGGGAGAGAGAGAAGTCAGAAAAGGAGTCTGAAAAATACTTGGTGACTGTTCAGAACAGTGCCTGGAAAATTTTATGACCATATAGGCCTTTCTGAAGGAGAAAAGTCTTTTCGAGTCAGAAAAGGAGTCTGAGAGTGTAGAGGCAGAAAGTCGGGAGATTAGGGAGAGACAGAAGTCATAAGAATAGGGGCAAAGTTCTCGATGGGAAGAGGCGCCAGATAACTTCCAGCAAGGACTCTTCCAGAATGGAGGTAGCAGTGAACTGGAAGAATGAGGATTCAGGGAAAGTGGACACTTGATGACCAGACATAAACACAAAATGGATGGAAATAGACAACAGAGGGTCTGTCCCCTCAGTCCATGCAAGTGTCCCTCGGCCGTGCCCCTTGCGGGGTAAAAGTGTGTCTTGGCGATAGGTGTGCCCAAATCAAGCCCAGGCCCAGTTGGGCTCCCTAGAGGATCCCCCAAATCACCACTAAGCTGTATGACATCATGGAACCGTGGGTGGGGACGCAGTCAAACTCTGTGGCTTCAAGAGTATTGTCCGCTGTGGAGCCTCTGCACAAGCCCTCAAAGCACTCGGTCAGCAGGCATACACACAGAACGGGACCATTTCCATTACGTTACTGTTGGATGTCTTCACACCGTGCGAGCTGGTAGGTTCAAGGGGGGGGGTGGGGGGCGCAACACGCCTCAACTCCTCGCCCAGGTTTTATGTACCAAGATGTTAGGTCTTCGAACTGGACGTAAGGCCAAGGACCCAAGGAAGGGACCAGAGAAAGCAAGCAAGCTAAAGAAGCTTTATTAAAGGGGCTCCCGGGCCGGACCCCTTGGTCTGGAGAGAGACCGATGTGGTGGGTGGGGGGAGGAACTGCCGGGATGGGCGTTTTTTTACTGCTGTCTGATCTCTGTTCACTTGGCGTAACAGGAAGGAGAGGCAGGAACGAGAGGAGGGTGCGGAGTGTACGGCTTACTGTCTCGAGTAGAGCCGTCTCCTCTGCCCCACGCCAGAGGAGCTGAACGGTGCCCAGGAAAGGCGGTTGTTTGACAGTTTACAATAAAGGAATATTCAAACATTTCGTGTTCGGATTTCAGTATGTTAAATACCGATAGCTTTAAGAACACACATAGACACAAGGTCTTGGAGGAGTTCACTAGTTCCTAAGGGGAGAGAGTGGGGGGGCCTGAAACCAAATGTCAAAGAGAACCCCTGCCTTCTAGCTTCTCAGGAGATATAACTAGACACTATTAATGTGCTAAGGTTTTGGTTTTGACCAGTCACTTAGACATTTTAGTCCTCTCCCCCTCGTTACTGTGGATGGAGTCTGGAGGGGAGCAGAGGTGGCATGCGGAGGAGGCAGCAGCGTGCGGTCGCATACTGGGAGACCGAGAGGAAGATGGCCAGTGGGGGTGGACTGCAGGAGAGTGTACCCTCTGCGCAGGGACATGGTGGACTCGGAGCAGCTGTGTCTGTCCTTGCAGAATGGCCAGGCTCTCAATCACGGCCAGACGAGGCAGCTGACGTGGGCAGGGCGCGTGGTCTGGGGCCAGCTGTAGGCAGGCCAGGGAGGGCAGCTCTTGTGCCCTGGTGGACTCAAGGGCCCAACAATGTGGGCACATGCATACACCCGGGTGCTGAGCTGGCCTTCAGCTGACCTCAGGATGGTCAAATGGTCATCATTTGCTATAGTTGACCTAATGCATGGTTGTAGAAAAGTCCCGGTGGCCTAGAGCTAAGGAGATGCCCTGCCAACCCAAAGGTAGGTGGTTTGAATCCGCTAGTGTTCCAGGGGGTGAAAATGGGCAGTCTCCTCCTGTGCAGTGTACAGCCTCTGGAAACACACTGGAGGGTCAGGAACGAGTTGTCCCTACTCAGTGGCCATGAATGTGAAAAACCAGCACCTGCCTCACGTGGCTTGGGTTTGTCCATGGCCCAGGGACATGGAGCCACATGTGTGCAGGAATTAGAAGGCAGATCCAGGACCAAGTCATGCACACAGTCCGGCAGCTCGCCACTCCCAGCCCCTTGGCTCTGGCAGCATCTGGATCTTTCCGTCTTGTTGGAGTGGGCACCATCAGGCCCACCAGCCCTGGTCCCCAGCTCGGCTGGCTCTTCTCATGTGTGTCCTGGCTGAGGGTTGGGCTCTGAGGGAGAAGTTCTGGTGAGGAAGCTACAGCTAGCTGGTTCACTATTAAAACTAACCTGTACCTGAGACCCCGGAGAAATGGCAAGTTGAATTTGCCAAAATGGCAGCTTGGTGCATCCACTGGCCCACTTTCCTTGTCGTCTGGCGTGGAGTCTTCCTTCAGACTGTCACTGGGAGCCCTGTCCTGGCTGCAGGGTCACTCGGTGTGGTGGGAGCTCGGCTCTTCCCCAGCCTCTCAGCTGTCAGGAGGAGGCCTCGAGCATCCACGTCATCTCCCCTTGTCTCTGAGCAGCAGACTCTTCTCTGGACCCTGAGGACGAGGTGATGGTGGCCGGGCTGCAGAGTGGACAGTCGGGTCTGAAGCCCATGCTGGCCAAGACCCAGTGGCTTCCCTTCACAGGAAGGAGTCAGTAAGCCGGGACAGCCTGGTGATTCTTTCCTCTTGGTCCAGCTCCACTGTCCCAGCACTACTGACCCTCCCTCTTCAGGGCCTGGGTCCTGGCCAGCAAGCCCTCAAGTGGGCCCGGTTCTGGCAGGAGGGGGAATACACGTGGACCTTGTTTTCTCACACCTTGTGGTTTCGTACTCTGGGGTGCTGCCTCTGCTGGGCCTTCAGGGGTGCTGGGCAGAGCGTGTACTGCAATGGGGACCCCTTTGGGGTGCATCATCAATGCACATCATGCTTGAGAGGCAGCAGGACCCACTGCAGTCAGGGCTCTGGACTGACGTGGTTGGAAGGAGAAGGCTGTCTGATGAATGGGGCTGGTGAGCTGCCCCTCAGTCCTTGCAGACCACGCCTCTCAGTGGCGGGGGTGGAGGGGGGACAGCCCCTCGCTGGCGTCCACCACACCCACTCATTGCCCCTTGTGTCCCAGCTTCGTCTCGCAGGCGTGGAGCTCCATCCCTGTGGGCCTTCTCCTGCTCTGGGTTGGCCCTGCTTGAGTGTTCTGGATGATGTCAGAACAGGACCTGGCGGACGTGGTCCAGATTGCCGTGGAAGACCTGAGTCCTGACCACCCAGGTACGTGTCGGGTGGCAGGAGAGGTGAGGGCAGCCAGCACGCTGGGCTCCGGGGATGGCAGGGGAGCTGAGGGCGGCTGGGGCGCTGGGCTCGGCGAGATCGTGAGTGGTTTCGTGGCTTCCTTTCCTTTAAGTACTGCTCCCACTGTTGTTGTTGTGTACCGTTGAGTGGGAACCGACCTGTAGCTGACCCTCAGTGGGTTTTCAGAGGTAGTGAATCATACAGGAGATTGCCCATTTTTGTTCTTTGGAGCAGCTGGTGGATTTAAACTGTGCGCCTTCGGGATTGCAGTGCAGCATCTTAACACTAGGCCACCAGCGCTCCTTACTACTCCCATTAATAGTATAGAATGAACAGTGCAGGTGGAGTATGAGAAGCCCAGCTGCAGCTGTGCCAGTGGACACATATGCCCTCTCTGCAGTCCTTGTCCCACGTCCTCTAGGCACCACTGACACGTGTTCCACAGGCCCTCTCCCCCTTGTGCCCTCACTGTCCCCCACAGAGCACCCTGCATGGCTCTCTTCCTGGGTGCCCTCCTTTCAAAGGCACTGTTTGCACTTTTAAAAAACAAGCTCCACCTCATAGTAAAGATGTTTGCAAGTGGATCCATTTGTGCAGCGGGAGGTGTGTGTGTCTTTATGGAGGCTTGGAGGGCTGCAGGGAGGGGGC